CCTGTCCCTGAGACTCTCCTGCAGCCCCGCCACACTCAGACCTGCTGTTACCTCCTCCCCCCATGACTTCACAGGGCAGCCAAGCAAAACTGAGACAAGGAGCCAGGGCCTCGTTGGCCTGTGGAACTCAGTGCCACAAGGTGCTTCTAGTGACAGTAGGGCGCTGGGTCGGGACCCAGGAGACACGGCTTCTGTTCCGGGTTCTCCCTGAGACTCTCCTGCAGCCCCGCCACACTCAGACCTGCTGTTACCTCCTCCCCCCATGACTTCACAGGGCAGCCAAGCAAAACTGAGACAAGGAGCCAGGGCCTCGTTGGCCTGTGGAACTCAGTGCCACAAGGTGCTTCTAGTGACAGTAGGGCGCTGGGTCGGGACCCAGGAGACACGGCTTCTGTTCCGGGTTCTGCCACTGCCCCGGGCTTGATTGTTCCTCTTCCCTTCCCGCTGCTTGTCAGGTTGGAGTGTCAATCCCTCAGGGCGGGTTTGGTTGGTCCTCTGAGCACAACGTGGCCCAGTGAGGCCCCATCCCCGCGGGGCCCGACATGATGCAAGTGACGCGAAAGTAAAAAGGCCCGAGGCCAAGAACTCGGCAGGGTTTAAAACCGAACTGGACTGTTGTATGAAGAGTAACGGGCCATAAACGGCCAGGCCTCCGGGCGTAAAGCAAGCACCTACCGGAGGGGGTGGAAGGCCTGTCCCCTCCATTGCAGGGGATCTCTGAGCTGTGTCGCGCAGACGGGCTGCTGGGCTAGACGGACCGCGAGGCTGATGCGGGATGGCGCGTTCCCCGGAGAATAGGCTGCGAATTACCCCCAGACTCCAGCTGGCTGTGTCTGGTGGGCCGTGAGTGCGGCGGCCGGAGTCGGTGAACAGCCCCACAGAGCTCCAGTCTGGGAGCTGCTCTAGCAATAGGCAGTGCACACCGCCGGGATTAGGGAGCCCAGCGTGCACGGCCATGCATTCAGCTCTGCGGGGGGAGCGTTGTCTAGTGGTCAGCGCTTAGGACTGGAAATAGAGTGCAGAATCCCAGCTGTGCCACTGATTCACTGTATGACCTTGGGTGAGTCACACTGCTGCCTCGCCTCAGTTTCCCCATAGCATTATCTGCAGTTCTGTGACAGCTAGAGGCCCCCGCTGAGGCCCAGCCCAGTTGTGCTGAACAGCGCAGGCATGTTCTGTCTGTACAGCGTCTAGCGCTGCCGGGTCCTGCCCCACAGCCGAGTTCCCGCTCGTTATGCTCACACACGTTGGCCTCTCGCCGCAGCTGGTGCTGTGTCCTGCAGTGCCTCACGCCTCGGCACGGGCTTTCTCCCGCAGGGTACCTCCGGGAGGGGTTCCTGGCCGTGCAGCATGCTGTGGACATAGCCATCATGCAGTACCACGCCAACGCCTCGGCCGCCGGCCTGCTGGAGGGGGTGACGGTGGCCGTGCGGCGCTTCCCCTACCCGCCCTACGTCAACGACCTCTTCCTCCTGGCCATCCAGAACCAGCTGCCCCTGCTGCTCATGCTCAGCTTCACTTACACCTCGCTCAACATCGTCCGCGCCGTGGTGCACGAGAAGGAGAAGAAGCTGAAGGTAATGGCCGTGCCGGAGGCTTCCTGGCAGGCTGAGCCAGGGCCCTGCGGGCTGGGGGGGCAGATGGGGT